CTGCACCTAATTTGAAAGAAAGCTACTGCCACTTACTTCAATCTTGCCTGTTCTAGCGGTCTCGGTTACTCTTTGTGGTGTAGCCTGACAGCTTTATTATCTTCCACCCACTACAAGTAAAACTGCACAAAGTAGGGTAACCATGAAAAATGCAACACAGGATATGAAAGACCAGAGTACTTATCCCCACCATCCATCTCCCTAATACTGAACCAACATAGGAAGCCCATTCTCAGGTCATTCAGGTTACCTTGAATGCAGTCTACATTTACAGTTGCCATAAGGAAAGTACCTTAGAAAGTAGTACTTGTGTTAAAGTTCAGTATGAGAAGCCTACAGGATTAACTGGGGCAGTTTAATAATATTGCTTTTTTATTTTTTATTTTTTTTTGTAGAACCCTTGCTCTTGCCAGGCGAGTGGTTATTCTACTGAGCTATCTCCCCGGCCCCAATATTGCTGTTTTGAGAGCACTAACACACAGGAAGTGAATCCAAAAAAGTTCCTTGCATTGTTTCAGTATTAGTAATTGTACAGCCATCACTGCCCCTCTTTACATCACACAATCACCAGAATTAGAAACTGCTTTGAAAACTAAAATTGGGGCACAGTCTGCTAATTAGAAGTTGCATACTGTTGCTAAATAGAAACCAGGTGCATGGTATGTTACAGCTGCAGAAATGGAAGCCTGCAGATTTAACAAGGGAGCCAAATCACGGTTGTAGACAATTTGAAGAACCTGGCAATGCTGTTGAAGCAAAATACTCAACACAGCAGGAAATAGACCAGGTTTAAAAAAAAAGCATTCTGTAAACAAGTAAGCATCGGATTATTTCCTTTCCCTTTGAGAATAAATACAGTTAAGGTTACTTTTAACCTTGGTAAGATATGTTTGCCCATAATGATCTTGATAATCACAACATGATATCTGATTTCACCTGCTAGGATTATAGTTTTGAGTAAGCCATAGTTACAAGAAGTATGTACCGTGATGCCTACAATTTCCTTTTATATCAATCACTGAAGAATTCAGTTGTCTTAAACAGTGAACAAGAGAAGAAGGCCTCATGCTTCCTTTGCAACATTGCCAATAAACAGGCTGTCATTTAATTCTGAGCACTCTCTTAGGTGTCTAAGGGGAGGACCTGGAACTGACACTTGCCTGGGAAGACAGGAACAGACAAATCCAGGTCAATGGCGCGTGTGGACTGGGAGGATGGAAGGCACCTGGGAGCGTGGAGGAGGAACAGCCCAGACTGCAGGTACAGGGATGGAGTCTGGGAGGAGTGTGCCACGCCTGAGTTGAGTCACTAAGGATGAATTCTGCCAGAGAACGCTTGGAGGGCTTCCTGGATGAAGGGACAGCATGCCCCTCTTCTGGAGAGCTGAAAAACCACAAGTGTCTAGAGCCGCCCCATGAACCAGCCACCTGAATCCAGTCTAGACAGACCCTGTTATCAACAGAGCATTAGAAACCACCTGAACACATAGGCTTTGTGTGAGCAAAAAGCTGGCCTTCTTTCTGTCTGGGTGCAGACAGGATGAGGTCATGAATGCTTTCAGCAGCTGGCCAAGGAGAAATTAGGTTTTTGTGGGTTTAGGGATGGGGTTATAATCCCAAAGAATCTGCGTGGAATGTTTGGGTTAAAGGTTCCCAGGATGGGCAGGGCAGGTGCGTAGATAACAGTGGGCTTTCCAGCATCAGGGAGGTTGCACGTCCTGTCCTAAATTTTCTTTTTATGGCCATCTGTTCTATTTGTTAAGGGCAGCATGGCCCTTTAGTGGTTTTCTTTTTGTGAAGGGCGACATGAACAGAGAACTCTCTCAGATCAGACATGACAGACTCCAGATATAGGCATTTGGGGTCAGATTGTAAAGGGTGAATTTTACCCTGAATTTATGAGGAGTCTTGAAGGATTTCAACCAGAGGAGTCATGTGTGAAATTCAAAAACAGAAGGATTAACCAGGCAGCAATGTGGAAACTGATTGGCAAGAAGGGGCTAGTGACGGGGTGGGAAGTGAGGGCACTGTAGGGGTCTTAACTAGTGAGGTAAGAGGGCTTACAGTCAAGAGGAAGGCAGGATGAAAAGGAAGGAAGGGACTTGGGAGATTAGGAGGAAGAGATGTCAAAATTTGGATGGCAGAAAGAAAGGAAACTCCAGTTTAGGCCCTAGGGATAGAAGGACAAAAACTAGGACAGAAACAAGGGAGGAACATAGTAAGGAGTCTCAGATGCCCTTGCCTGGGGACCTAGTGGCTTTGGGATCCCCAGTAGCATACAGAGACATGTGACATTGATTGGTTGGGCATGCAGATATAATAAGACAAAATGAGACACTGCCATCATTCTCTGATCAAATCAGCAGCAGCCACATGGTTTCAAAGAGAATTAGAATGAAATAGTACAAAGTACAGAGAAAATGTTAATTCTTTTCCTCTTTTAAAAGCTTCAAAACTAAGGCCTTATAGGGTAAAAGGTGAGGCCCCCAATGGAGCAGAAGCTGTCATTTATACCAGAACAGTGCTGACACCAGTGTTCCTTTATGCTCAACCAGCCAAGGGGCAAATACAGAGCAAGCTCTTTCGCTAAGCCGCGCCACGGAACCAGGGCTTTAAATACAGAAAAAAATAACTGATCTAGGTTGGATGCTGTGTCCTGTGACAACTGCCAAGAATTTGGAGATTAATAGTTGCATTTCACAGGCAAGAGCATTAACCTTGTAAATTTCAGACATCTCTGTGAATAATCTCTGGAGGTGTGTTTATGGTTACAGATGGAGTATGGGATGGTTAGAACCCTTACACAGGGGCTTCATTCTCTCATATGCTTTTGCCTTCATCTTACACCTGTGTCAATAACTTCATCTCCCCAGAGTTTCTTTTCACAAGCAATGGTTAATTAAGGGGCTTTTAGGTTCTGGCTTTAAGCAGTATTTTATTAACCAGCAAGAACAGAACATTGAGGAATTATAAAAAATGTAAGCCTTAATAAAAAAAAATAGAGAGCATTACATATATTTAAAGAAAAATGGTGAGGTGTGTAATATTATGCCCTTGCCAATAAAAAAGAAATTAGAATGGGAATAGAGGGAAATGAGATACTATGTTTCTTCGAAGAGGGTAAGCCAAAATGGGAAGGCCCTGGCATTGGAGGTGTGTGTGTGTGTGTGTGTGTGTGTGTGTGTGTGTGACAGAGAGAGAGAGAGAGAGAGAGACAGACAGACAGACAGACAGACAAAGAGAGAAAGAGACAGAGAGACAGAAAGAGAGAGAGAGAGAGAGAGAGAGAGAGAGAGAGAGAGAGAATGCATTTGTTGAAAAGGAAGTCCAAACTCAACACTCAAATTCCGTGTTCAAATCCTAGGCTCTATTGATTATTAGCTCTGTGACTTTAGGCAATTTGCTTACCTTTTCTTTGCTTCAGTTTCCTCATTTCAAAATTGAGGTTTATGATCATAATAACCCATATAATACAGCTGTTATGAGGAATAAATGAGCTAGAATATGTAAACCACTTAAGACAATAGATACTAAATAAATGTTTGCTATTGTTACTGTTTGATTTGATTTGATTTTTTTTTTTTCAGAACTGGGGATTGAACTCAGGCCCTTGCACTTGGCAGGGAAGGTTTATTCTACTGAGCCATCTCCCCGCCCTTTGTTGTTTGATTTTGAAGAAAAAAAGCTTTTGAAGACTTGATGGTAAAGACTTAGGAGAGAAAGGTGATTTTGCTAACCTGTGGGAAGAGATGGGTGGACTGCAGAATGCACTGTGCTTCAGTTCATCATCTTGGGCAGGAGAAAAATCTTTTCTCCAGAGGCTGGGGAGATAGGCTAAAAAGGGTCAGAGATGCCTCTGAAGGGTGGAAGTTGTGTACGAATCTTTGGATGATCTTCATTTTTTTTTTTTTTTTTTTTTTTTTTGAGACAGAATTTGGCTATATAGTTCAGGCTGGCCTTGAACTCACTGTGTAGCCCGGGCTGAACTGGAACTCACTGTGATCTTCTTGCCTCGGCCTCCCACGTGCTGGGATCACAGGTGTGTGCCACCACCCTGGACTTCCATTTCATTTTGAATAGCTGAAGAGGCGAGTAGAAGGAACTGTCATCACTTACTCTCCCAGATACCTGTTCAGCCTCCTGATAGATCTTGTTGCTTCCTTTCCAGTATTAATCCAACACAAACAGAACACGGAATGATCAATAAATGCTTCTCAAGTACCCTGGCAGAAGATAAGATACAAAGCCAAAAAACCCTTTCTCCCCATTAAAAATAGAACTGCAGTTCATGATTGTATAGAAGCTACACGCAAGATGATCCATTTCTCAAACAGACTTGTAGGTGAAGTAGCTACTACACATATAAAACATTCCCCAGGACGGGCTGGGATCATATTTGAAACTTAGAAGTAAAATAGGTAGTGACGTTAATGAAATTGCTGTCACTGGGACAGGACGCTGTGGGAATGTGTGTGTATACAACAGTGTATTAGTAAGTATATGAGCCACTGTGTCACTATGGGATAAAACCGTTAAAATAAATAAATAAATAAATAGGCTATTCGTTCTTTCTAAGCCCATCTTGGATGTTGATTTTCCTCCAAGTGCGAAAAGGGCACTGTCTTTGAATGTCTATCGCATTGTGCTCCTTTTAGGAAATACCCTAATTGCTCACGTTGAAAGTGTGTGTGTGTGTGTGTGTGTGTGTGTGTGTGTGTTGGGAATATATATTCTTTTTCACCAGCATTTGTTCCTCTGTAGCTTTCAGCTACAGCAGACTGTAGCTGTAATGTCAATACGTCCTTGCTTTGCGCTTCTCTTTCTCCTACTTATTTTGAAATAATTCCTCTCTGGCAGCCGGTAGAACCAGGACACGCAGAGGAATCGTTAGAGAAAAAGGAACGGCTAATCGGGTGTTATGTCCTTCGCGGCCTTCCGTAGTTCAGGGTCGCCCCGGGGGCGGGGCGCTGCGGCGCGCGGCATTTTCGAAGTTTGAAGCGTTCTAAACGCAACGGCTGTAGTCGAGGCAGCTTCAAGGTACCCGCCGTCGTCACTTCGCTCTTTTTGAGAGTCTGGTAAGGGACGCCATAAGCTTGTCTCCCGTGTTCTTACACTTAGTTTTTTATTCAGGGCTCGGGGAGGGGCTTGCGGCAGGCGGCGGCTGGGAAACGGGGGCCGCCCGGAGCGAGCGGGGCCTCGGCGGGAGCTAGCTGGTGACTCGCGGGGGGCGCCGCCTTCTCCCTCGAGCCTCTCTAACGTCGCTTCTCGGTTTCTAGGCTCGGTGGTTGGGCCTCTGACTGGGCCGGGCGCATGGTCCCGGGGTCCTCATGGGGGACCCTTTCTGTTCCTGAGGCTTTTCTTTACGTTCAGCCCGCGGCTTCTTCTCCCCCTCCGCCTCCTCCCCGCCTCTTCTGCCAGCTTTCTTCTCTCTTGTGTTTTTCTCGTTACCTCCCATTTTCCTCCTAGTGTCTTGTTTTTCCCTTGTAGGCTGCGGTCTCTCCACACCTCAGCTTTGCCGTCAGTATTTTGTTGAGTCGGGTGGTTGAGGGTCCAAAAGTTATTGACGACCGATCCAGTTGATGTCGGGTGTGTGTACAGCTTTGAGACAGCGTTTGAGTCAGTGGACAACAGCCGTCTGTCACTAGCTAAGGCCTAAACCCAGTGGAGCGTTCAGTCGTGAGCACAGTTGCTTGCCTTCAGAGAGCTGTGAAATGGAATGGGTGTGATATAGTTAGAGTAATTTAAAGGTGAAACGTGAGACTGAGTCCTCAAGTGGCCCCAAAATGTGAGGGAATATGAAATAATTTATATTTCAAGCTAGTTTTTATTGGCAGTGAATTTTTAAAGAAATTTCCTTCTGTGCATCAAAAAATCTTAATGCTACAGCACTAGGAAGCCTGAGGCAGGAGGATTGCTGTGAGTTCAAAGCCAACTTGGGCTGCGTAGTGAGTTCAAGACTAACCTGAACTACATTGCAAGATGCTGTCCCAAAAAAGAAAAGAAAATCAATAGCACAATTTGTCATAGCTAAATCTTGGAACCAACCCAAATACCCAACAACTGAGGAATGCATAAAAAAGATGTTGTCCTTTTAGGTAACAGTATTGCTTAGCTATAAAGAAAGACAAAGTTGCAGTTTTATAGGTAAAAGGATGCAACTAGAAACCATGCTCACAAATAAAACTCTCATGTGTAAACATTGTGTTGCCTCTCTAGTGTAAGAAACCGAAAAAGTAAATAAAACCCAACATCTATAATAGATATTGTGATAGGGAGAGAAACTGCTCAAGAGGAAGAAACTGGGATGGGTAAAAGGAGAAAAGAAGGAAGGGAAGAGAATATATAGAGATAAGATTGTTACCACTGAGTGTCCTCTTAATTCATTGAGAAAAGTTTGTGCTTAAATTGTTTGATCAGTTTACGCATGTCCATATCCTGTAATATGAGCAACTAATTTGAACATAACCATATGCAGTATATTAACCATTGTTAATCTGTTATCTTGTTTTTAAATTCTGTATTATTATTTTTTCTCTTTAAAAAATATCAAAAATTCTTTGTGCTGTTGGAGAAAAGGCAGTGAGACTTTCCAGCTGGCTCTGCTTGCCAAAGGTTTTTGCTTTCTGCCTTGCTCGCCCGCCCCTCAGGCTGCTTTTCCCCTTCCATTTCTTGAGTAGGGATCCCCAAAACTACCTGCACTCTTGGTGCACTGAAGCCCTGTATCATTGGTGGCAAGCCCTTGACCCGAATGTGGTAGTGAGCTGTCAGCATCATTGCAAGTTCTGTTACTGCGCTTTTCTTTTAACATATGAGGTCGTTTTTTCTAAACTAAAACTTCAGTTTTGATGGTTTAATTGCAGTGTTGTCATTTTGCTATTAAAAAGTGGGTTTGGGTTTGCAGTTTGGGCACCCAGTCTCTAAAAGCTGTGCCATCCTTGCTGTATGTGTCCTGACCTGCTCTCTTGGTTTTAACACCATGTGTGCACTAATACCCAAAACACCGTGTGTGCACTGATGACTCAAGACTCATGTCTTCAGTTTGGATTCCACACTGCCTATTTAACATTTTCACCTAGAGTCTAAAAAGACACCCCAAAATGAGCTTCCAATCTCAGTTAATGGTACCCCAATTTTTTCAGTTGCTTAGTCTAGAAAAGTTGGAGCCATTATTGACTTTTTTATATTTTTAACCGTTGTTTACCCATCAAGAAATCAGGACATTTTCTGGAAAATTCCTATAAATGGGATCATCCTGTATGTGGCCTTTTGCATCTAGCTTCTTAGTATACATATTTTTGAGGTTTATTCATGTTGGAGAGCATTTCATATTGTATACCACTGTACTGTACATCCATAGTTTATTCCTTTTTATAACTAATATTCCTTTGTATGTATATACTATTACTTCAGAATGTATATATTATACATTCAGATCCTAGTGGATATTTAAAGGACATAAAAGACCTTTTTACAGCTCCTCAGTTTTAGAGAGGAGGGTGAAATACTCTGTACCCTCTGAACTAGGTGGTTTTTTGAAGTACACATATTATAGTTAAAACAAAAATCCTAGTAACTATCATAATATGGTCATGGGTTTGTACTTCTCTCATTTTTCTTCTTTCTTTTTTTTAAGATTTAAAATTTCTGAATTTAGTTGAACTTAAAACATCACATTTCCAAGAAAAATGAACCTTTTGCACAAGAAATTTGAATAAAATCATATCCAGATATACAAAAATGAAATTGTCGAAAACTTATAAAGAAAAAAAATCATTAAAGCATATACATTAAAAAATTAGCTATGGGGGCTGGTGAGATAGCTCAGTGGTCTAAAGCACCTACTTAGAACAAGCTTAGCAAAGCACAGGGACTGCGGTTCGATCCCCCAGCACCACATGCCATCCAGCCCAGCCCCTGGGTGGGCTGAGCTGCCCACAAAAAAAATAAATACTCTATTAAAAAAAAAAAAAAACTTTAAAAAAATTAGCTATGGAAGAACAAAATTAAATAGCATCATATTTCACATTAGAAAGAAAACAAAACCAAAAAAAGACCAAGTGTGTAAGAAACTACACTAAAGTACTGAAAGAAAGGAAAAAAACAGATCTGTCCTCTTTGAATTTTATACTTAGCAAACATACCTTTGAAAACTAAAAGTAAAATATTTTCCAGTTATACAACCTTGAAATATTCTAATACCTCCAGATGTAGCATATAGGAAATAACAAAAAGCATATTTCAGAAGGCAAGAGAAGTTGCTGTTTGCTCCTGGATGAAGAATAAAGAGCTCTCAAAATGATAGTTATGCAGGACTATGTAAAATATATTAGATGAACCCATTTAAAAGATCACTAAAGATTTCTGCGAAACAGTATCAATCTTACGTCGAGTTATACACATGTCTTTTTCATATATATGTGTGTGTGTATAAGAGATAGGGAAGAAGTAATATAAAGTCAATGGAAAATGGAAATACACTTTTTAAAGTTTCTAATACTAAGAGAAAAAATGTCTTTTAAGTAGGTTGTAAGTCAAATATACAGTATAAATCTTAAGATTAAGCAATATTCAGAAAATTAAATATTAATTAAAAACTAAATGTTTCAGAACAATTGAACTAAGAAAAAGTTTTTATGGTAGTAAAGAATTACTAAGAATAAAACATAAGATAAATACTAGAATGACAAATAAATGACCAGCACTTCTAACAGTTTGGGGATAGGATATTGCACAAAATTCTAGTGTGTCATGGACATGGATAATGTCCATAACACTTACTGGTGGCCAGATGTCACTTGTGGGACTGAGCTTCTGCTATTTCCTTGACATCCATCCTGTAGCCCTAGACAGAATCATGACCCATAGGGTGCAGGAGAAGTCCATTTGTAGAGTATGCTGATGGAAATATCTTGCTGCTGTATACAAAAGAATAACTGAAAGACTGCTTTTGTGTACCTCTTATTCTCCTGTGTTTAATTGTTTGCCCTATTTGATGGGTTCTTTCCGTTCTCATTCATGGAGTTGTGGTCATTTTGATCCCTCTCTAGAACACCTTTTAGTAGTCTGTGTAGGTTTGGCTTTCTCATCATGAAATTCTTTAGTTGTTCTTTGTCATGGAAGTATTTCACTTCTCCTTCTCCATGATACTTGAAAGAGAGTTTTGCAGGGTATATCAGTCTGGGTTGCAATTTGTTTTCTTGTAAGACTTGAAGTACTTTGCTCCATGCTCTTCTTGCCTTGATGGTTTGTGAAGAGAAATCTGCCGTTATCCTGATGGGTTTTCCTTTAAACGTGATCTGTTTCTTTTCTTTAGCGGCTTTTAGAATACTGTTCCTGTGCTGAATTTCTGGGATCTTGGTTATTATATGTCTGGGTGTGGTTTTAATTGGGTTGATGTTATTTGGAGTTCTATATGCTTCGGTTCCCTGAGTGTCAGATAGTTTCCCCATATTTGGGAAGTTTTCTGCTACTACTTCTGCCCATATTCTTTTTAAATCATTTGTATTGACTCCTTCTTTCTCATTGATGCTTATTAGTCTTATGTTGTTCATCTTTGCATCGTCTTGCAGATGTTGGAATATTTTTTCCTGCATCCTAGTTGTTTTTAAGAGATCTTTTCTTACTTTTTCACTGTCTGCAATGATGTCTTGAAGGTCTGAAAGTCTATTCTCACTTTCAAACAGTTTCGCCAGCTTGTGATTGAGGTTTTAAATTCCTGTTTATCACTTTGGATCTGCTTCATGCATTCTATTTCTTTCCTATATTGCTTATTCAAGGATTCCATCATTTTTATATTCTGCTCTATTTTTTTTTAATCAGTGTCTTCTTTAGGAGCACATAGTACTTCTTTCACTATAGTTATTTTTTTTTTTTACTTGAGAAATTATTTCTTTATCCATCTATCCATTTATGTGTGTGTGGCTAGTTCAGCCCACCAGGGGGCGGGGCTGGCTGGCATGTGGTGCTGGGGGATCGAACCGCGGTCCCTGTGCTTCAGGCAAGCTTGTTCCAAGTAGGTGCTTTAGACCACTGAGCCATCTCACCAGCCCGAGAAATTATTTCTGATCTGATTTCCTGTATACCTTTTCTACCTTTCTGCAGTTGTTTACTTCAGACGCTATTATTTCAGAGATTTCAGGTGTATGATTTCCAATTTCTTCTATGCTAGTGTCTTCTGCATTTCATTCCTTCTCTTTGTCATTTTCTACAGCACTGTCTTCTGACCTTTGGTGTAGAGCTTAGATAAAGTTATTACCTTAGCACCAGGTCCAAATCTGCCAAGTTCAAACTCGTCCAAGTAGGTGTGGCTTGGATCTGGTTGGTGTGCTCCACTTATTCCTGTTGCAGCCCTTGGAGTTGAACCCTCTGTGCCATTCTGGCAAGATGTTCTGTTCCTGAATCATCTGGATGGGTATTGCCTCTAACCTGTTTGCTGGGAGTTCTGCTGCAGGTTCCACGCTGGATTTGGGCTCTAGTCGAATGAGGATCCAGCGGGCCTCAGGTCGTCTTACTCACATGCCGGGCCTGGGCTCTGGGTCGAATCAGGATCTGGTGGGCCCCGGTTCCTCTCACACACTGCGCCTGGGCTCCGGGTCAAATGAGGATCTGGTGGGCCCTGGGTCATCTCACATGCCGGGCCTGCACTCTGGGTCGAATGAGTCTCATTTTTCTCACTGTAAATAAAATTAAACTAAATATTTGCTGATGTCTTTTTCAGTTTTCAGATTTTGTTCGTATGACAAAATGAGTGCTAATGTTACAGATTTTCTTCATGAATGAGAGCTGTATTCTTTAAAACTTCAATGTAAGTTGTTTTTAGTTCCATCATAGGACCTGGAGTGGTTGCTGTAATGGAAGGAATCAATAATTTCAAGACACCAAACAGATTATCTGAAAAAAGGAAATCTGGTAAGAACTCTGGTGTCTTACCAGATGTCTTTCTTCTTCATTATTGTTGCTATAGAAATGTCTTTGTATTATTGTAGTTTCCCCTATTTATTATCTTTTACGCAGTTGTACCTAACTATGGTGTTAGTTTTAACAAATTAAAACTGATGGGACAGGGTTTGGTCACCTGTGTACAATTTTTGTTGACACCCTAATGATTTGAAAGTTCTGCCTGGTGAAGAATCAGTTTAGATTGAGTCAGTAAGAACTCACTTTATGTTTCCCTTCCTTCCACATGTTGCTCTCCTGAGATAAAGATATCTTATAAGGCAGTTCAGTGAGTGAAGAGAAATAGTCAATCAATAACTGTATGTCCACATGCACAAAACAAATTTCAATCCTTTACTCACATCATACACAAAAATGTGTATAATAAGAAAATTTCATAGTAATAACAGGAGAGAACCTTAGGTGGTTCATTTCTAGTGTGTAGATTTCTTTGTACTCTGCAGCAATGCTAAACTCGCTTTTTCTCCTTACTTTATTTTATTTATTTATTTTTTTTCTGGCACTGTGGGTTTTAACCAGCCAGGCAGGGGCTTGCACACTGAGCTACATCCTCAATACTTTTGCAAAAGCTTTATTTTGAGACAAAATCTTACGAGGTTGTCCAGACTGTCATGTACTTGCAAGACCCCTCAGTGTCCCTAGTGGCTAGAGTAACAGTTGTTTGCCACTGTGCCTGGTAGCATTTTTATAGCTTGCTTAGGATATTGTAAGTAGTTGGTTATGTGTAGATGAATAAATACAGTCTACTTTCCTGCAATCTGTATGACTTTATTTCTTTTTCTTATCACATGGCTCCAGTATGTTTTTGAAGTGTTCCCCTGTATACTTGCCTGGCTCCCATTATATGAGACAGAGGCTTTTTGCAGATACCCTTATTAGGTTGAGACATAGTTCTGTTCCTAGTTGTTATCATGGATAGATACTAAATTTTTTAAGTACTTTTTCTGAACCTTTGCTATAACCAAGATTTGTTTGTTTCTTTTTTTTTTTTTTTAAGTTTTCTTTTTTTAATGTGTTAAGGTGGCAAGCTATGTGAATTTTCAAGTGTTAGACCAATCTTTCTAGGATAAAACCATTTTGGCCAAGATGCATTTTATACATTGCTTGATTTGATTTGCCAAGTATTTTCTTTCTTTATTCATGAGAGATATTGGACAATAGTTGTCTTCCGTTTAGAACATTTGTCTAGTTTTGGTATATTGTGTTCTGTATTCCTAAAGTAAGATTGGAATTTTTTTTTTGCGGAACCGGGGATTGAGGAAATATTTTCTTATGAAGAAATACTTTATCTGATATGTATTCTTGACTGCATGGTAGAATTCACCGTTAATGCTCTCTGGGCCTGTAGTTTTCATAGTAGGAAGATTTTAACTGATTGCACAGTTACTCAAGTTACCTGTTTTTCTTTTTTGAGTTTTATTGATGTTTTCAAAGAATTTGTCTGTTTCTTCTAAGTTGTCAAATTATTGGCATAAAGTTATTTTTATGTACTCTGATCATCTTTCTGTAATTTCTGATGCTGCTATTTTATTTTTTGCCTTAGTCCATTTGACTTGAGGTTTATCTATCTAGATAAACTTGGTGATGGTTTCACATCGTTGAAAAGGCTGGACTTTCTTTTGTTATTGGGTGGAATATTCCATAACTGTCCGGCCATCTGGTTGGCCTGTTCATATTGTTTTGTTCAGGTCTTCTACTGTCCTGCTGATTTTCTGTGTGCTTTTAATTATGGAGAGAGGAGTGGTGATGTCACTAACTACAGTCGTGGATTTGTCTGCTTTCCTTTGAATCTAACACAGGTAATATTATAAAATGTTTATCATCTGTGTAGTGTTATCTAATAAATTCTCTGCCACGAAGAAAATGTTCTGTTTGAGAAGCAGATATGCAAGCCACTAGCAACATGTTATAATAAAGGAGTTTATTATAAAGAGCATACATCTTACATTTTGTTTTTATGTATTCGGACAATTTCTGCTTTTAAGTGAACTGTTTCACTATTAGGCACTTGTGGGTATTTTAATTTGGATTCAAATCAATCAAAATTAAACAAAAATGTTGTCTTAGGTACTTTTCTTGTTGCCACAGCAACATACCTAAAACCCAGAGTTGAAGGAGGAAAGGTTTATTAAACTCACTTTGTGGAGGTTTCAGTTCATAAGGGGCTGGCTCCAAGGCAAGGTGGCACCTGCATAGGACACCAGTTCATGGCATTTGAAGACAGCAAATCAATAAGAGCAAGACACAAAGCCTCTTTTTATCCCTTATATTGTGTCCAGTCTACCGGGATTAGGGTGATGCCAATCCAATCACTGAACTGATCCAGCAATCACCCACCCTTAATTCCAGCACCCTTAATCGTAGGATTGCACCATGAATCAGTCACACACTTGAGATTCAGCCACCTCTGAAAAAACTATGACTGCATGAGGTTTTGAGGGGGAAATCTAGACACAAGCCATAACATTTATGTTGCACTAACCATATTTCAAGTGCTTAGTAATAACATGTTGCTAGTGATTTGCATACTGGACAGCACAAATACAGAACATTTTCTTCATGGCAGAGAATTTATTGGACAACACTGTTTAGATGATAAAAATTTTATAGTATTATCTGTGTTAGATTTAAATCTACTGTTTTGTGATGTCTTAATTTGTTAATTTCATCCCTTTGAATTGATGGTATCTTTGCTTCAGCTTATTTTTCAAGTAGTATGAATCATATTTTTATATTTCTTTTGTACCTAGTAAGTTTTTTTTTTTTTTTTTGTGGAACCAGGGATTGAACTCAGGCCCTTGTGCTTGCCAGGGAAGTGCTTATTCCACTGAGCCATCTCCCTGACCCCCTTGTTTTGTTTTTTGAGGCAGGGTCTTGCTGTGTTATTCATGCTGTCCTTAAATTATAAGTGCCCACCTGGCAAGTGCAAAGTCCTGAGTTCGATCGCTGGTACAAAAAAAAAATTCACTATGTAGCCCAAGCTGACTTTGAATTCATGGCAATCATCCTGCCCCAACCTCTCAAATGCTGGGATCGCAGGCACGTGCCATCACACCTGGCTTTTACCTGGTCATGTTTGATTAGATAGTAGATACTTTACATGGAGTGCTGGATTCTGTTACTTCTTTTTTTTTTTTTTTTTAATTTTCTTTTATAAAAATTTATTTATTTGATATATAGTCTTTCTATGCAGTTCAGACTTATAGTGCTAGGATTACAGGCCTGTGCTACCACACTCAGGTTTGGGTCCAGCCCAACATGCGGTACCGGGAATCAGACTCAGGTCTTCGCTCTTTTTTTTTTTTTTTTAACTTTTTTGATTATTATTTATTTATTTTTTTGTTTGTGTGTGTGTGTGTGGCCAGCTCAGCCCACCAGGGGGTGGGGCTGGCTGGCATGTGGTGCTCGGGGATTGAACCGCGGTCCATGTGTTTTGCTAAACTTGTTCTAAGTAGGTGCTTTAGACCACTGAGCCATCTCACCAGCCCAGGTCTTTGCTCTTGACCAGGCAGGTGCTTAGTCTGCCAACCTATCTCCCCAGCCCTGGATTTTGTTATTTCTTCAACATTTTTAATATCAGGTTAACTTACTGCAAGGCTTACTGCATTAGGCTATTCTTTCTGAGACTTTTTTTTTTAATAGATTTTTTTTTCTTAAGTTAAAATTTAGTGTACTACTGCTTGTAATCCTTTAGAGGATTTTACTTAATATTTTGTATTACAAGGTTACTACATTTTGGCCCATGGTAAAGTGAGCTTATTCCTAGACTTATAATTTCAGGTCATTATTTAGCCTATTGCTTTAGCCTGGCTTTTGGGGAGCTTATCCATTATATGTGTCAATAAGTACTTAGTCAAGCACTTAATGAAAGACTTTCTGATCTGTGTATGTGTGTGTATATATATATATATATATACACACTTTATAGAATATTTATTTCTTAGTTCTCTGCTCTACAAATTCTAGCCACCTAAGGCTTTTTGACCTTTGATCTCCCTCTCCTCAGTTTGACAAGACTGCTGAATTCTGTCAAGTTTTCTAGTTAATGGTGAGAGGCTATTGCAAGAGTAGTTGACTTCTGAGAAGCAGAACTCTTCTATCCCACCCTTTTAATGATTTACAGTGCTCTAATATATACTGTAATAGTGCTTCAGATGATGTTCTCTTTGGGTTTTGGCTTTTTTTAGTTGCAAAAGCAGATTCCAGTAATCAAGTATATATGTGCTTATGCATGCGTGTGATCTCTTTCTTTGGACACATGCTGTGATATAAGTAAGGGTCAGCAAACTTTTTGGTAGTTTAGACCTGGAGGATCGGGTAGGGATTCTCATATACTGTTTGTTTTTTTTTTTTAACTTTTTAACAGTGCTTTAGTAATGTAAAAGTAGTTCTTAGCTGTAAACCATATAAGTTGAGTAATTTACTAATTTCTACTTCAGGGGGCTGGTGAGATGGCTCAGTGGTCTAGGGCACCTACTTGGAACAAGCTTAGCAAATTACAGGGACCGGGGTTCAATCCCCCAGCACCACATGCCAGCCAGCCCCGCCCCCTGGTGAGCTGAGCTGCCCCCCCCACACACACATAAATAATTTCTACTTCAGTGTTAATGTAGGATAGAATTCTAAAAGTAGATTTGATGAAGTTATCTTTATTTTTTATTTTTTTAAAATTTTATTTATTTGTGTGTGTGTGTGTGTGTGTGTGTGTGGCCAGCTCAGCCCACCAGGGGGCGGGGCTGGCTGGCATGTGGTGCTGGGGGATTGAACCGGCGGTCCCTGTGCTCTGCCAAGCTTGTTCCAAGTAGGTGCCCCAGGCCACTGAGCCATCTCACCAGCCCGAAGTTATCTTTAAAATTAGAATTGATATTGTCAAATTGATCTCCACAAAGTCTGTGACATTTAAGAATGCTAACGGGTCTTTAAAATAATTATGGTGCTTTGCAGAAGACCTTTCAAATATTAATTGTTTGTTTTTCTTTTTGACATTTAGTATTATCAACTCCATGTATAAATATTCCTGCCTCTCCATTTATGCAGAAGCTTGGCTATGGAACTGGAGTGAATGTTTACCTAATGAAAAGGTGAGTATGAGATTTCAGATTGACCTTTTTATCAGGAATAATAAAATGCAAAAATCTAGATTTGGCAAGTGTTCCTAGTCTTATCTGACTGCTGTGTTCCAGTCCCTAGAAGTTGGAAAGCTGCCAGAGTTTTCCTGGTAAACTTCTAGCTTCCTCCTCATGGATTACTAAGGATTGGCTTAG